AAAAACATTAATTGTTACAGTGTTACTTTAATAAGATTATATAAGTCAAAAACAGTTCCAATCCCAGGGAAAGTTTCTTTAAGTAAAATTGCGTAAGTAATGACATAACAGTAATGAATAATGTAGATGCCAAACATGTAATAAAGGACAGTCTGCACACTACCCATCGGAGAGAGATTGCTGGGAAATGTGCATTTAGTGTGTTGAAAATGTCAAAAATATGGCCATAATTTAATGTTAACCAAACCCATTTCTCATACTGTAAATATGCTGATATCAGTGGAATCATGATACCACAGCCTAAACTGAAATATTCTGTGTTAAAACCAATATTATCACAACTTTTTTTAGCATATCTTATTCCGGCAAAAATAGAGAAGTGTAATTAACCATAGTTCTTATTTGAAGACATTGCCAAGAGCCATCGCTGCTGGTCTGATCCACACCCATCATTGCTTTTCAGTACACTTTGTTTATTTATTTTTGTCTTCTTTTATTAGCTTCTGATGTTCATCAAGACTGCAATTACTTGATCCAAAATTTGTCCTTGATATTTTAATATATTGTAAAAGTTCAAAATATTAGATGGTATTCCTGTGATGGAAAATACAGATTTTTAAGAGTCATTATTAACAGCAATTATTGAAAACAAAAAAGTCTTAACTGTCATTTTTTTATCACTTAAATGCTATTTAAAGCTTGTTATTTCTTTTTTTTTTTTTATTTCTACTGGCCTCAAACTTTGAGTTTATTTGTTCAACCCAAATAAATTATTTACAACCACTTAACTTTAAAAAAATTGTAAATGCAAGGAATAATCTTTGAATTATTCTTTTCAGTTTACCAGGAAATACCCAGATTTTTAAAATAAAGTTATATAAAGGCAGTTTTCATTCATTGTCGATTCATTGATTAGCACACAAACTAGTAAAACACTATATATAATATATTGTAAAAGTTCAAAGTATTAGATGTTATTGGAAAATCCAAATTTTTAGGAGTCCTTAATAACAGCCTTTATTAGAAAATAAATGTAAAAGTCTTTACTCTCATTTTTTATTAATTAAATGCTAAATATTCCCAGAGATGGGTTGCGGCTGGAAGGGCATCCGCTGCGTAAAAACTTGCTGGAAAAGTTGGCGGTTTATTTCGCTGTGGCGACCCCGGATTAATAAAGGGACTAAGCTGACAAGAAAATGAGATGAGATAAATGCTAAATAAAGCTTGTTATTTCTTTAAAAAATCATACTTGCCTCAAACTTTAAAATATTACATATAGAAGTAATTCTATGTAATTATTTGTTTTAGTTTTTTTTTAACCTTTAATTGGAAAGGACAGTGGAAGATACAGACAGGAATGCACTGGGAGCAGAGAGAGGGGAAGGGTCGGCAAAGGACCTCGAGTGGGGAATCAAACTCGGGTCGCTGTGAGCACCACGGTGCTACAGTATATGTCGGCGCACTTAACCACTACACTGTAAAAAATTTTAAGCCAGTTCAACAAAAAAAATCTTAGTACTAATTTCCTTCTGTTTTTTCTTGTTTACTCAACTTTTGAAAACATCAGCTACACTGACTGAAAATAATTTGTCAGTGAAACAAAAAATGTCTAGTTGAGTCAACTTAACATTAGTAGTTTTCTGGAAACCTGCACCTGCAGCACAACAAATATTTTTAAGTTGTGCAAACTGAACATTTCTTGTCTGCAGGACTGAAATGACAGAAGTTGAGTGAACAAGAAAATACAAAAGGAAATTAGTACTAAGAAATTATATGTTACCAGAGCAAAAGTTGTGTTAACTGAACATTTCTTGTCTGGATGGCCTGAAATGACAGAAGTTGAGTGAACAAGAAAATACAAAAGGAAATTAGTACTAAGAAATTATATGTTACCAGAGCAAAAGTTGTGTTAACTGAACATTTCTTGTCTGGATGGCCAAAAATGACAGAAGTTGAGAGAACAAGAAAATACAAAAGGAAATTAGTACTAAGAAATTATATGTTATCCGAGCAAACACACATGGCTCTGTTTTTTTAAGTTCTGCTGACTGAACATTTCTTGTCTGAATGGTCTGAAACTACAGAAGTTAAATGAACCAAAAAAATACAATTGGAAATTAGTACTAATAAATAAAATGTTATCGGAGTAAACACATATGGCAAAAAAAGACATACATTTTACCAAAACATTCATTTTCTTGCGGTTCTTCACTAAAGTACAAAAACGAGGTAGTGTATCTGTAAAAAAAAAAAAAAAAAAAAAAAAAAAAAAACACAAACACTAAGTCAAATTAATCACATGAAAAGGAAACACAATTATATTAAATATATAACAATTACAGCACATCTCTGAGACTACCTAACACTATCAATTTTAATAACCTTAGAATATCCCATAAATTATTCACAACACCTTGTTGAAAAAACAGCGTAAGCTGGTAAGGTATGTTTTGATGCTGGTCTCAATGCTGGTTTTGCTTGTCTCAATGCTGGTCTTGCTGGTTTCAGTGCTGGTTTTGCTGGTCTAAGCGCTGCTCCTGACCAGCATTGAGACCAGCAAGACCAACATTGAAACCAGCATTAGGACCAGCATTGAGACCAGCAAAACCAACATTAAGACCAGCAAAACCAGCATTAAAACAAGCAAGACCAGCATACCAGCATCAAAACATATACCTTCCCAGCATATGCTGTTTTTTTTTTTTGTTTTTTTTCAGCAGGGCAATTAGAGCAATCAATCTGAATTACTAGTTGCCTTGAGATATAAATCTTAGTATTTGTTGTAATTCATTTCAAAATCTATACTTGCATAATTACATGTTTTGTGCTGGTACCTTGGCTGGTCATGGATAAATATGATATTAAAACTGCCAGTAAAGGATCTTACTTTAGTAATAAGTGTTCCACTGTATACACCTTCAGTTCAAAATGAACGATTTATTACTATTATTTTGGTTTTGATTTGATTTTGTTTGCTTAATATAATAATAAGCAGTTGGAATATACGCGCTGTCACTTTAAGAGCCACCCTAGATAGTAAAATACACCTGGGCCAGTTCCAGCTAGATTCGCTGCCGCATCCGAGCCAGAATCGGCCCGTGAGTAATGTGCGCTGCAGCCCGGAGCTGGCGCAACTCAATATACCTTGATATAAAACCTTTTGGTATTATATTGGTACTTGATACATGGTATTACAACCATTTGCATTTATATACCAGCAAACGCAGGCTATATTGTAAAGGCAAAGTGTAGGCACTGCGTTCAACCTTTGAATAAAATGCAAACAGCATACATATCCAATAACAAAAATTATCAAACAAAGGACAAAATAAATAATAATAAACATTTATTGATTGCAATAAACAAATAATACTAAACTTGAATAAAATATTTTGTAGTGCACAAGTAATAATAAAACTACACAATAAAGACACACAGGAAGATTTAAAGACAAAATCTGAAATTGCACACATACACAGAAGTTTTTAAAACAACCCTGTTTTCCCAATAGACTTGAATTAAAAAATTGTACAAGACACATCTTAAAACAGCTTAATTTTATATAAACCTGAATATAGAAACCAATTTAAGATATAGCAAGAAACATCTTACAAATACCCATGACAATATGTAAAATATACAAGTCAAAAATGTAAAAAGACCTGCAGAATTCTTAAGAAACATTTTTAATAAATGTAATAAATAAAACATAATAATACATTTAAATGAGTGAGATTATATAATTTGACTTGTATATCTTTATATGTCTTGTGCAATTTGTTATTAATATTTTTATTATATTATGTTAATTAAAAATGTATTAAGATGCTTTTTCAGAATTTAGCATATTTAGCATATGTAAGAAACATCTTACAAATACCCATGACAATATGTAAAATATACAAGTCAAAATTGTAAAAAGAACTGCAGAATTCTTAAGAAACATTTTTAATAAATAAAACATAATAATACATTTAAATGAGTGAGATGATTATATATATATATATATATATATATATATATATATATATATATATATATATATATATATATATCAAATTTGACTTGTATATCTTTATATGTCTTGTGCATTTTTTTATTAATATTTTTATTATATTATGTTAATTAAAAATGTATTAAGATGCTTTTTCAGAATTTAGCATATTGTCATTATATATATATATATATATATATATATATATATATATATATATATATATATATATAAATTGCAAATAAAAGAAACAAATTACCCAAGTATCAGGGAACATCTTAATACACTTAAAATGTTGTTTAAAAAATAAATTATTGATGTAGACATTTGACACATTAGCTTTCTCTTCTTCCCTCCTTCCTCCAGCCCTGTCAGGAGCACGTTGTAGCCACCTTGTAATGCATTTTTCCACTTCTTTATCAGTGATGTGGTATGGACATTTCTCCTCACTACATCTGTGATTAAAAGATAAACAAACAATTAGTAGTGAAAAAGTACAAATGAAAAAAGAAAGATGCTTGCTCTCATATAAGTACAACCTAAATGGGACTATATATAGATGTTTTGTTCCTTTGATTAATGATTCAAAGAAATACACAGATGGAACTGCCCCTAATTGTACTGAAATGTATATTTAAAACCAACTTACTGACTAGACAGTCGTAAGGGAGAGTGCATGAAAGGCCACATTTTGGTTTGCCCTGCTCCAGTTAATTTGTTCAGCCAAAAAGTGAGCCAAAAGCTTTCCCGGGACACACCAAACTGCTTAGTGGAAAACACCAATGATTCCAAAGTAGGCTACCTACGAAGCAAAAAAACACAAAAATAAATAAATAAACATAAAACACTTAGAAATAAGCAAGAAACTTACCAGTTTCTTCATTTGTTCGGGCTGCTCGTTTAGTTGATTTTCAAGTTTTTCCAAATCAAATTGGACAAAGAAAGGTAAAATGTGTTTACATCTGGAATTTCATCACGTCTGTTTTGGTTTTGCTGATTTGTGAGAATCAGGCACAGTTGCTGCTTTATGACGTCACATGATTTTAAAACTTTTTTTCAGTCGTGCTAAAAAAGAAAAATAACAAATTAGTATAAATCAACCTGTTGCTTATTCTCATGCAACTTGTGTAAATACAACAGTGGGTTAGACACTGCTGATATTCTCTAGTTGATCTTTACTTTCTAGCTGCATTAAGCCATTACAAATTTAGTGATGTCTTGAATTCTTACAAAGACATGACGAGTTGCAATAAGTTGTCTTGATCTCCGACTGCACTTGAACAAGGACTGTAAATGTTCATAGGTGTACTGGAATGTACAGCATCTGTGCATCTTGATGGTGTTCTTAAGGATCCTGCCATAGTCATTGGTGGTGATGGTACTTGCGGTGCTGCATCAATTTCTGAAATCTTCATATCAGTTTTTTCTCCAGCCTCTTTGTTCCAAATAATTTTTCTTCATCACGTTCACTATAGTTGTGTCTTTAATGCCCCTTGATCAGATACATTTACAAAACAAAACATTATTTTAGTATAGTGCAGGACACTAGATCAATGACAATGGCAGTGTAATAGATCAATGACATAATGTTGACAGTATGTGTTTAAAATAATTGCAAACAAACCTGTTCTTTCTTTAGGTGTATGACAGGCAATCACCGTCCTCATCTGTCTGCAAGCCAAGCTGAGTCGAGCTTCCTCATGTGTGTCTATAATAAAACATCACATTGTTGTTAACCTCCCCCCAAAAAGTTAAAATCCTGAAATACTATCAAAGTTAATTAATGGCTATAATACCTATGGTGTAAATAATCAGCACACAGGATTTAGAGATCAGAGATTCATGCAGAGAGACAGCCTTATGAATCTTAGACATAGATTTGTAAGATGGCCAAGCACATGCATTATTCTGTACCCATGAAGATTAACCTACCATTGTGGAAAATGTTTGATGATGATGATAGCCAATAACAATAAATCATTTCAGCTGTTTGTGAAGCAATTAGTAATGTAAAGTCTGAAAAGCTCAATCTATGTTGAAAATGTATCAGCAGTTTACAGCTTATAATGGACTTTTAGCACACAACTATAACATGCCTATTCACATGTTCATAAGAATGTGCTATTGGTCTCTGTGATGTGCTACAAAATGACCTCAATAACCTTTGTTAAACAAGAACAGTAAGACTTAACCAAAAAAATATTCATTTATACCCATTCATTTAAATCAGAAAGTATAACTGTCAATAACCAAAAAATAAAACCCATCAAAATCTGCTTTAAGAAATTTAGTTTTACATGCGCAAACTACAACTTGAACATAAGATATAATTGATTCACATAGGCTAACACATATAAATTAAAGCACATACTAATATATTTCTCTTAATAATAGAATGATAATTTAAAGAGAACAGTAAACGATCACTGATGCACTGCATAAACAAGTTAAACAATAACTTAACAATAACCTAACACTGTGAAAATGTTTTAAGCATTAAATTCGCAAAGTATACAGTATACAAGCAGCAAAAACCTTACCTTTCTGACCGGAATCCACTGTTTTGAAACGCCAAACTTCTTTTTCTTCTTGTGATCATCATAGCGGTTGGCAACCAGCTTTTGGAACATTACCGCCACCGTCTGGATTGGAGTTTGGACCAAGAGTTGACTCACGCATGTGTTTCTTATGAAACCAAACTTCTGCTTAAAAAAAACAGTCTGCATGGAAGCGTGCTATCTCGAAAATAAGCGCATTTTACAGTGTTTTCCCTAGATGATATATATAATCCATTTATAAATAATATTGTTTTGTTTGCATCTAAACATTGGGAACATCCACACTAAATGTTTTTATTATTTTGTTGCTGTTGTACCATATATATTTTCTCAAATTATCATTAAACGTGGAGCTAACAAATTACTAGATAAAATAAGAATTTAATCGGTTGTCATCAGTTACACAAGCCGAGTCCTTATACGAGCCGAGACAAACTCGGGCCAGATAGGGTTAACAGGAATCTGGCCAGTGTTTACAGCTACATCACAGACGCATGTGCGCGAGCGAGCTGCGGGCCACACTCCGCCCGTATAACACTCGTTGATGCCGAGTCGGAGCCGGAGGCGCCGAAGGGCAGCCGAGCTCGGGCCGATTACTTCCTGCTACCCGGGGCATGGATATGATTTACGGCAACACAAATATTCATTCACTCTTATCACATAACAAAGAGAGATTATGTGAATAATCACTAAGCGCCGCATCTGCACACATTTTTGCGCGTATATGATGAACATTTAGGAGGACAAATTTAGATGAAGTGTCTTAAACAAAGAACTACAATCTTTGCACACTTACTATTAAGATTGCTCTTCCACGGCTTGCCTCTTTCCCCACCGAAGTACAATGCTTCCAGTTTCTCCCGCCTGAGACGTTGACGTTACGTAAGCGCAACCATCGTAACGAGGGCGTGGTTTAGCTCAAGACAGAATGATGCTATATCGTCCTTTGAGAAACATATTTTTGAGTGCGTGGTTTATTTTTAAATATTGGAATATCAAAGTATGCCTTTCTTTTTTTAAAGGGTAATGAATAAACACGAGATGATAATGTGCGTGCAAGCTTATTTCTGCAAATGTGCACCAAATAAAGTTAAATTGCAAATGAAAAGTTTCAAATAAAGTTACTATAAGTATTGTAGTGTTTTTTGTTGTTTTTAATAACAATGTGAAGAATAACGATATTTATTATTGTATTAATAATAATAATAATAATAATAGCATTCTCACTCAGCATTTACTTTTTAATACAAACCATGAAAGGTTCTATACTCATTCATTCATTTTCTTGTTGGCTTAGTCCCTTTATTAATCTGGGGTCGCCACAGCGGAATGAACCGCCAATTTATCCAGCAGGTTTTTGCGCAGCGGATGCCCTTCCAGCCCCAACCCATCTCTGGGAAAAGGTTCTATACTGCCATTGATAATTTTTTTAGAATATTTAACATGTTTGAAACCTTTTCAATCAACAAAAGGTTATGCTACTTGTATATTCATTGCATTAAAAAAGTCAGAGATTGACTTAACACAAAAAAAACAAGTTGGCAGATGCTTTTTTGAATGAACTAGCAAAGTGTTGCTCACAAAACTCATCTTTTTAACTTAATGAATAAAATCTTTGTTTAAGTTGATTGAATGTGTTAAATGTAGTTGTACAGACTTTTTTACAGATTTTTGCTGAACCAACAAAAAAAATCAAGCAATTTCAACATTTGTCAAGTTGGATTTTTTACAGTGTAGGCTATTGGCACCGCGTAGTAGTAATTCTAAGATGTTATTCCAGTGATGGAAAATCATTAACAGCATTAAATTTATTCGCAACAAATGTAAAAGTATTTACTGTCATTTTTTATAAATCGAATGCATCTTTGCTAAATAAAGCTTGCTATTACTTTATAAAAAGTTGACTGTTCTCACATTTGAGTTAGTTTTTTTAAATTCAACTTAAAAAAATTGTTTACAACCACTGAACTTAAAAAACAAATCGTAAATCCAAAGAATCATCTTTGAATCATTCTTTTCAGTGCACCAGGAATCAACCAGATTTTTTTTTATAAAGTATTATAAAGGCAATTTTCATACATTGTTGGCTTATTTATTAGCACACAAACTAGTAAATTAATATTTTAATATATTGTAAAAGTTCAAAACATTAGATGTTCTTCCTGTGATGGAAAATCCTAATTTTTAAAGAGTCGTTAACAACAGAGTTTATTGAAAACAAATGTAAAAGTCTTTACTCTCATTTTTCTTATCAAGTAAATGCATCTTTGCTACAGTAAATAAAGCTTGTTCTTTCTTTAAAAAAAATCAAATTTCAAACTTTGAAACAGTATATATAAAAGTAATTCTAAGATGTTATTCCTGCATGTAATGGAAAATCGTTAATAATACTGCATTTATTGGACACAAATGTACAAGTCTTTACTCTGGCTTTTTTTTTAATCTATTAAATGCATCTTTGCCAAATATAACTATTTATTTCTCAAAAAATAAATGAAATCTTCTTCTTTGAAACAACAGTACATGTAGCAGTAATTCTAAGCATGGCATACAATAGTAGCTAAAACATCAGCGGTGTGTTTACTCGTTATAATCTTAAATAAATAGATGTATATGTCTCCAGAATGCATGTTACGCTCGCTTCTGCTTGTAAAGGCCATCTGGAAATGATCTGCTGCACAGCATTGGCCTGTCAAATTTACTGTTGATCATAAAACATTTGTCTAAGCAGATGATACACAGCAGGAGCGCAACGTATAAGCCAACAAAACGACACTGACGGAAGAGGCCTTTAAGTAACAGCTTTACGGCACTGCCTCTGAATTATTAAAGAGAGGGAATATGAGTCGTGGTCAGCTCTGAGCAATACGGCACATTTCTCCGGCATTCAACAAAGAAGTGGAACAAACACGAGCTAGTCAGAACGTGGAGACGCAGTTGAGCGGTGAGTGATGAGAGGTGAAAGGTGAGCACTATATATACACACGTCCACACACACACACACAACACGCCATCGACAGACATCACACCCTCCTCAGAAAGGCATGTGGGATTATTCATACATTACACACTCGATATATTTTCATGGTCAAATGGCACACTAGTAGGATTGAAGAAGGCGAGGATTGTTCTGCCGATCACCTTACGGGACAGTGTGTGCCGCGTTGGGCTGATCGTTTCCCTAAACCCTTTGATCTCCTTAATGATCAATGACCGAGTGAGGAATCTATGCGCAGCAAGGCTGGTTTTATGGCGATGAGAGGGGGCGAGCTCCACAAATAGGTCAAAGGTCATCAGATTCTGCTTATGCTAAACAGAAACGAAGAGTCAGCAAGCCCATGTTAGATTTCACAGAGGCAAATGCTGATTAGAGAGGATCATGTTTCTTTGGGAGCCATCTTAAAGTGACAGTAACAGTTTATTTTTTTCTGAGTCTGGTTTAACACTTAAAATTAAAGACACTGATCACACAAAAAATTATTTATTGATGTTTTTTCACCCTTCATGAGTTTAAAACTTCTGTGGAACATTAAAGATATCCTGAACAATGTTGTAAAGTGGCAGCCGTTTACTTTTTTGTTTTCCTACTATGGATATCAATGGATGCCACTTCTCAATATCCTTCAAAATATCTTTGTTTGGGAGCACTGTAAAAAATGCTGCGCAATCGATTTGTGTTGGGACAACATGAAGGAATTAAGTTAGCTTGTTAGTTTTTACAAATTTAACTGGATTTAACATAAAACAATAAAGTTGTCCCAAAAAAATTCAAATAAGTAGTTTGAACAAACACCAAACGTCAATTATCTGAGTGTGGGTGTTCAGCAGAAAAAAGAAACTCGTAAAGTTTTAGATGCACTTGATGGAAAATAAATGGTGAATGATATAAAATTTTTGGCAATGCATTAATTAACAAAACAACATAGAATAATAGAGGTTAGTTATATTAAAAGGTGCTTTAAATGCTACAAAATCCAAATATTCAAATATTTAGGCAAAATAAATAATTTTTAAACACTTTTAAATATTAACATAAGGTCAGTAATATTTCTCTTAAAGCAAAATTCAAATTATTGTACGAAGAAAAAATTTAATTGAGGGGACAACAAAGACAATAAACAACAACAACAAGGGAAAATTAAAGATTTTTCAGATGTTTGAAGAGTTTAAATATGTTTTTGTTCTTTAGAATTTCAATCCATAGCAAATCGTAGCAATCGATGTTTCCTAAACTAATATTTTAATATCAAAAGCAAAATCTGAAGGATCGTGTGACTCTTAACACTGAAGTAATGACTGGGCATGGGCTGGTATAAGTTTCTGGCGGTATGATAACTTTGGATAAAAATATTACCGTATCACAGTATTGAGATTACTGCTCTAAAATAAGTTATTTTTAAATTTCTGAATCTGAGTAAAAGACAACAACAAATTTAACACAATATATTTTATTTTAGGAAAGATTTAAAATCCTTTGGAGCAGTAAACATGTCAGGCTAAATAATTAAAATAAATTATTGACTTCTGCTCTCTTCATTAGTTTCAAAACCACGGATTTCTTTACAACACATAAAAACCTTACATATACCTTAGGAACAGCATAACAGATCATTTTAGATAATTTTAAAACCTTGACTTTTCCAAACAACGGTTATCCTTGAAACCGGTTATCGTCCCATGCCTAGTAATGACTGCTAAAGTTCAGCTTTTGCCATCTCAAAAATAATTAAATTGTAACATTTTAAAACAGACTTATTTTAAGTGAAATTCTCATTTTTAAAATGTAGTATGCCTTAACGCGTAATTGTGTAGTAAGGTCTCTGCACAAGCTACTTCCTCTCTGCTATGTGCTGTAAATTTTTATTGGTCAGCGTTCACCCCCCAAGGACAGGCCAGATCCAGCACACATGCCTTATGCTTTCTCTGACGCCAAGGAGAAACCAGTTTCTAACTTCAACCCAAACCATAGAGGCCTTTACTGGATGTTTCCTTATTTCTCAAAAAGCTTCATTATTGATCCTTCATCCCCCTCACGAGCAGCCTTGAATAATCCTTTCCCTCTCAGTTCTTTTCTACACAGTTTATCATGAGCACTGAGGGGGAGCGAATGGAATCAAGGAAGGTAAACAAATCCATTATCTTGTCAAAATTCTATTTAACTTCATTAGGCCTCATCCTAGGAGAAGTGGATAATGTCCTTCGTTGATAACATTGGCTGCTTTTTAACAGTGCGGTCAATCATGATTGGACATGTTTCGACCCAAACGACTTCATCAATACGCAAAAACTATGCATGGCTGCACTTTTATTTGTATACGGACAAAAATCATCAGACATTATCTGTAATTTCAGCAACTTTTTGCTGCTTTTAGTTTATTAGATAAACGTGTTGTGGACAGATACTCGCTTTGACGCCTGATTTAATGTGCTGTTTGGTTAAAGATAGGCAGGACAAACC